AAAACTCGATTTATATTCTGTCATTAAAAAAATTTCTAGTTTGGGAATTGGCAATAGTTATCCAAATATGTAAGTATTTTGAATTTGATCGATGGTGTCATCCATCTAATATAATTAAGTGATATATAAAACTCGATTTATATTCTATCATTAAAATTTGAGAATAATATAAAACTCGATTTATATTCTGTCATTAAAAAAATTTCTAGTTTGGGAATTGGCAATAGTTATCCAAATATGTAAGTATTTTGAATTTGATCGATGGTGTCATCCATCTAATATAATTAAGTGATATATAAAACTCGATTTATATTCTGTCATTAAAAAAATTTCTAGTTTGGGAATTGGCAATAGTTATCCAAATATGTAAGTATTTTGAATTTGATCGATGGTATCATCCATCTAATTTTATTAAGTGATATATATATATATATATATATATATATATATATATATATAAAGAAGTTTCACATCTATATAAATTTTACCATAACGCTCAATAACTTTATTCTCGCTCTTCTAATCTTCTAAACCACTCCTCCCTATAAGGTGGCTTTTTGACCAAAGTAGGGTTGTATGGAAACTTAATTACGTAAATGAGGCTGTTTAGAAACTATTTACGCCTTTGGGGCTGTTTACAACGGTGTCGCTACTATTTTTTTTTTTTTGTATGGAGTGGGCTCGAATGAGCCATAACAGTGCCGCTATAGGCTGAGGCAACACAGTTTGTGCGCCATTAAAAATGGTGTAGCCCATAGCGACACCATTTAAGAAAAAAAACAAAAAAAAGTAAAATAATTTAAATCTAAGTTTAAAATAATCAACTGAACTTACTTATTATATATTTATAAAAATAAAATATATTTATTTAAAAACGTAATTGTAAAAAATATATATAATTATTTTGTAAGTGGCGCTATGGCCTATAGCGACACAGTGTCGCTATAGACTATAACGACACTACTAATTTATTTTTTTTTATTTATTAACTTATTTTATTTTAAAATTTGTTTATTTTATAATACCAGTTAAATGTTAATTTGTAATTATAAAATTAATTTTTCTCTTATTAGTTTTATGTATATATATATTTTTTATTTATTATTTTATGACAAATTAAATAATATATTTATTTATTTTTTAAAGTGGCGCGACCTGCGACACTACTTAATCAGACACATAGATTTGCAGAGTGATGGAGGGGAATTCAGAAAATTTCGCACATTTTGTAAATTTAGTACGTCAGGGTCAGCATCAGCAACAAGAGTCCATTATTGATCCTTCCCTGTTTTTTCCCATTTCAAACAATTGCACTCCCCAATCCATCAATATAACAACCCCTTGATAACTAAGTTAAAAGTGTGTCGCTATACTATGTTGTTATAGGCCATAATCACTATATATTTTTTTTAAATTATTAAATAAATTATTTTAATTACGTTTTGATTTATTTACGAATATCATAAAAATATATATTTATATATTTAATTATTTCTGATTTTTTTATTTTATTTTTTATATATTTATTTTTTTATTTACGTTTTTTAATTTTTAAAATAAATAACGCTGTGGCCTATAGCGTGACTATATTTTTATTTTTTTTAAATTATTAAATAAATTGTTTTTTATTATATTCTAATTTATTTTTAAAACCGTTTTTTTTATATTAAATATGTGGCGCTATAGGCTATAGCAATTTTAGTGAAGTTGTTTTGTGGCGCTATAGGCTGTAGCGATACTATTAATATGGCTTTCATGGCTTTCGTGGAGTTTAAAAAATGTCACGTGTCACTAGTGTCGCTATGGCCCATAACGACACCGTTGTAAACAGCCCCAAAGACGTAAATACTTTCAAAAGAACCTCATTTACGTAAATAAGTTGGTCAACGACTCCCACTTTGGTCAAAAAGCCCTATAAGATTGAACCAAAAAATTCTCCGAACACCCAAACCATCACGCGGACAATTACACACCTTAGAGGTCAATTACTGACGGTTTTATTTTCATGTTTCATTTTTATTTTAATTTTTAAATAAAAAATATCATACAAGTTTTTCTTATTTTAAAATATTTGTACAAAAAAAATATAAATTACTTTTTTCACTACTTTTTTAAATGTTATTTTGAACTATGTGTCGGTAAAGGGTCACATCAAATCATCAAGTGTCTGCTGAGGGTATTTTTTGTCAAACATTAACTTATAAAAAGGAGCTTTTAAAGAAAAAACTCTTAATTATAAATATTATAATTAATTATAGATATAATTTATAGATTTAAGAGTTGAATATTAGTTTAAAGATGTAGGTTTAGCTTCATTATCCCCGAAAAAAAAAAGGTTTAGCTTCATTATTTAATATATGTAGGATCCTTTAATAACTTTATAATTAAATCTAATCAAATTCTTTTATACGTCTGAGAATAAAAACAATAAATTTTGATCATATAATATTTTTTTATTCAGAAAAAAAAAAATAACATCATATCACTAGCAAAAGTTAATTTCTCCCCCACTAGACAAGACTCAAGGCTAAAATACTCATCTGACATTTATATATATTATAATTTTAACTATTTGTTAATATTTATTTTTCTTATTTATGCATATAACAAAAGAAGCTACTTTGATATGTGTCGTATATACTGTCATGTATATACCAATCATACTGCATAATTATTAAATATTTGTCGATTGATAAATCATTCTTTGTGATAGAGAAAAAAGGTTTAGAATAATCGTGATTCTTTTCTATACCTGATTTACCTGTCACTTTTACTTTTTTCTTTAATTTCTTTAATTTCTTTTGACAAGCTTGCTTTACATCTTTTAGAACTTAATTTTGACCATTTCTGGGAAAAATCCTTTGCCCAGGTGTCTACAAAGAAAACTTAATTGTATTAGTTTAATTTTATGATAATTTAGCTTAAATTTTATATTTTTACAAATAAACATTTTAATTATGATTTTTCTTAATTAATTATTTTTTTTTCTTTTTTATATCTTTTAAATTGTGTTGAGATTAAATTGTTAAAATAGAAAATATCAATCATTTATTTATTTTAAATCACATTTATTTATTAATTTTTTGATACATATATATTAGTTTTATTTTCATATATATTAAGATACCATACAATTTAGAAGAAGAAAAAAATTAAATAAAGACTTTTTTTTTACTATTTTTATCATTCTTTTATTTTTTCTAAACTCATTTTTTTATTATATTTTAAAAAAATTGTTACATAAAAAAAAAGATTAGTGAATGATTGATATTTAAGATAAATAATTTAACTCTAAATTGATAATATAAAAATTTTGTAAAATTAAAAAATGTCAAATGTTAAAATTAATTAGAATGAAATTAAAGTTAAGGATGTTTATTTATAAAAGAAATAAAGTTTAAGGATTAATTGAAACAAAATTAAAGTTTATAATATCTATTTACAAATCAAATAAAGTATAAGGATTGATTAGGATAAAATAAAAGTTTATGTGTCTATTTGTATAAAATTTAAATTTAAGGTAATTAATTACTCTTTTTAATAATAATCAAAATTGTTGTTAGGGAAGAAAAGATATTTATTGATTTTTAAAAAAATGATAATATATTAAATAGTTACTTAAAAGAATGAGAAATATTTACCGTGAAACACAGAAGCAGAGAAGAAACTAATAATTAAAAATAAATAAATAAAAATTGGAAGAGGAACCATAATTTAGAATATTTTTTTCTAAAAAAATCGTACATCAAAAGAGAGAATTTTTTTTTTTAATAACTAAAGAATAACCCTTTATGATTAGTATATACATAATTTAAATTAAGATATGAAAGAAAAGAGTGAGACCTTGATTAGGATCTGTAGTGGCATTAACCAAGCAGTTGAAGGTGCAAACAACAGCAACAAGTGCAAAAGCCAAAGTTGGTGGTAATAAACACCATTCCATGATGAACTACAAGCTTGCTATATTTCTAAATTTTCTAAGCACTACTTGAGTTTTATAGTCACCAACAAAGACCAATGGTGTTTATGGTTTATGACCAAGCTCGCTGTGTTGGTTACGCAGAGTTTATGAAACCTTAAGTCACATGTAAGACGTCACACCAAAGAAATTCACCTAAAACCTCGTATGCTACACTAACACGTGGATCCTAAGATAAGAATAAAAAGGTGATAAGTCTATATTATCTATACTACCTACTTTTTTGTATCAGTTATTACTATCTACCTAATCAAATTATGTAATTCTAATTAATTACTATCTAATTAACAAAGTCTTGCATCGTACACACTCGTCATTATCTCCTCCAACTTTTTTCCCTTCATAATGGTTAGTCCATCTGAAAAACAAGTGATGGTGCTTTTGTGAATTTGTCAAGCAGATGAAAAAAAAAATAATTGAACAAGGATTAGTTAGCTACCAAATATGATACAAACTTAGCAATGATATTTCGCTTTTTAAAAATTATTTTATATTATAAAATCAAGGAAGAGTTTTGCAATTGCATTTTAACTCTAATAATAGTAATTCTTCTAAAGTGTATATTATATTAAAAAAATAATAATATAAAATTAGGAAATTATAAAGAGTTATTTCTTACATAATCCTAAAATGAACTTGGCATTTTTATTTAATTTATATTCTTTACATAATCCTAAAATGAACTTATCATGCTTGATTGAACACGAGAGTACATGTAAAATTTTTAACATGCATGATTAACCTCCTTAAATTAATTGTACTTTATGGCTATACATGTAAAAATATGAATATCATACATTAAAATAAAATTTATAAGTTTATTATATTTTATGAGAATATTAAAATTAGCAGATACTAGTGAAAAAAATATCTATCAAATGAATTATTTTAGGTCTTACCTTTTACATCGATTGTGTGACACACTTCTACTGTATATACATTTAATATAATATGACGATGAAATAATTAAGGCGGTTTATAAAAGCGATTATCATGGATACACTAGTACAAAAATGACTTTTAAAATCGGGGTTTTAAAATTGGTTATAAGGTAACCGATTTTAAAAGTGACGCGGTGACAATTTTGTAAATAATGACATTACTTTTAAAATCGATTACGTTATAACCGATTTTAAAAGTCTCTGACGGTACTTTTAAAATCGGTTGTTCAATAACCGATTTTAAAAGTGATACTTTTAAAATCGGTTATCCAAGAGCCGATTTTAAAAGTAGAGACTTTTAAAATCGGCTCTAGAAGACCGATTTTAAAAGTAGAGACTTTTAAAATTGGCTCTTGAAGACCGATTTTAAAAGTGGACTTTTAAAAGCGATTATCGAATAGCCGATTTTAAAAGTATCACTTTTAAAATTGGTTATTGAACAATCGATTTTAAAAGTAGCATGAGAGACTTAAACTTCTATCTCTGCTCCCATTCTCCCCCTAGCTCCATTCTCTACCCTTTGGCTTCAATAGTTCATATAGTCCTCTCTTTACTCTCTCGGGCTCTCATCTAAAGTGTGCAGCTTCTCATTTTCTCAAAAGAATACAACATCAAGGTAACATTGTCTTCTATTGTCTTTTATATCGTTGTTGCTGGGCGAATTTTGAGTCTGGAACTGCCCCAGAACGGCCCGTTCTGCAAGTAGAATAGGTCGTACTGCTTGCAGTACGGGCATACTGAGCGCAGAACAGGTCGTACTGCTTGTAGAACGGGCCGTTCTGCTTGCAGTACGAGCCATTCTGCTTGCAGTACGGGCCGTTCTAGGGCCGTTCCAGATTAAACTTTTAGGCATTTTTTGAATTTAGATAGGTGGAATGGGAAGCACCAATGTAAGTATTAGTAATTAGTGATATGGGCCCTAAAAGATTAAGTACTATTGTTGATCGATGATACCCCCCAACCATCTGTATTCAAGTTACATAGACTCTGATTTCATTGTAACAGTGGGTAAAGATCAACTCATAAATTATGCTTACAATCCATACATTCTGATTTTGTAACAAGATACTTACATTTTAATTCTATTTCTTTTCCGCTCTTGCTCATAATTCTTTTCTTGTAACGTTTTTAATCAGAGCTAAATTGGGTTATCTCTTTCTATTTTTCCCAAACAATAACAATAACTTAAGGTGCTGCTTTATTTACTATGATCAATAACTAGTGGAAGTGACAACTTTTAGTTGCTTAGGAGATAGTCCCTTACGTATGAGAAATACAGCAAGTTTGAGACCCATATTTTCCTTTTCAATTCTTTTGCCTTCTACAAAAAAAAAACGGACACACATTTCAATATAATTATTTTTAAAAGTCTCACTTTTAACATCGGTCACTGTTGACCGATTTTAAAAGTCTCACTTTAAACATCGGTCACTGTTGACCGATTTTAAAAGTCTCACTTTTAACATCGGTCAGCGACCGATGTTAAAAGTCCCACTTTTGAAAGGTTTATTATTCACATGAATTAAATGTAAATAAAATTAAGATAAAACCACTCCTCCAAATCTCACACTAATAAAGTCATCCCATCTAAATAAGGTAAAAGTATAAGCTTCATCTCTAACAAGCTCAAATTCCTCTATCTACTTTGTACCTGAAAGTGGAATTCAACTTAACCAAGAAAAGATAACATCACACAAAGTGATGGAATCATGTCAAGGCCAAAAAGACCAAGAGGTGATACATTAAAGGACCCAAGATGAATGGGTTAATTTTGAAGACCTTTCATATGATTGTATATAGTAGTTCTTGTATAGGTTTATTTTTGCCTTTGTATTTGTGAGGCACTTTTCTTTCTTTCATTATAGGATATTCTTTTAAGAATTTAGGGTATGTTACTTGGAGACTTTTGCTCCATTTGACCTTGTATTAAGGGTCATCCATTTTTATATTTTTAGTAGTAGAAGTGGGGTGACAAATAGTAATGTGTGTAGGTGCAACTAATAATTGGCCTAGAGTTGGGCCTTAGCCAAATTTTACATATTGGGCTTATTTTTCTCCATATTTTCTAAGGAATTGATATAGTTAGGTCTCACCATCATTTGGTTAACCTAACTAAACCAATTCCAACTTTTTGGATTGGACCAAAGTTGGAGAATGACACCATGGCCGCCTAGCTTGTTCTTTGGAGAAAGTTCTCCCCTTAAAAACCTTAACAATGGAATCCTTCCTTTGTGCCTTGGTTCATCACTTCTTCTTTTTCTTCAAGAAGGAGAACGCGCCATTGTTGCTTCTCCTCCAAGCTTTTGAAGCTTGGAACCTTGCTTCCGAATCCATTATCAAACTCAAGAGAAAATGTGGACGTGAGGATGGCACTTGAAAGAGTTCAACAATCACTCCAACAAGTGATTTCCATCATTTTTGGTATCTAGAGCCATGGTTGCTCTTGAGGTTATGTGTTCCTCTCTTTTAGTCATTTTCGGTCATGTGTAGTCTACTTCCATGTCTTGTGTTGTTTCTTGATTAGATCTAGTTTATGTAAACTATATTGATAGATCTATATGTCTCATTACTTGTTTGGTTCATTACTTTGCTTGTTTCTTGATTCTTGAACCAAACCATGGTGCTTATAGGATTCTTGTGCTTGTGCATTTTGTTTTGTTTGAGTCCTTTCTTATATTATTAAATCCATGTATGAACAATATGATTAACATGTGTTTTGATTTTTTATTCATGAAAGCTTTGTCTAGAAGTCATGTGTAGTCTTTTTTACATGTCATAAATTCCTAGAATAGCTTGTTGTACCTATTTTTGTGTTAATATATGATACGGTCTTGTTTTGTTTTGTTAATATATGTACCTAAATGTGCTTTTGTTTTGCATCTTTGAGTTCATATTTGCTATTAGTTCTAGCAAATTCATAGAGTTAGGTTTCTATGATGTCTCATTAAAAGTTTGTCAAAAAAAAAATTGCCTAAACACTACTTGATTCTTAGGTTTCTTGTGTAACTTGTTGTGGTTGAATCTTTTAACTATTTTTAATCATTCCAAATAGAGGAAAAATAGAGGTACAAGTTTTTTAGAATCATATGAAAAACAAAGGAAATGTGTGCTTGAAAGTTACTTACAATTTGTGCAAAATTTTGTGAGCACTTGCAAAACACAAGCACTTGTATACCTCTTGTATTGTGACATATTTTAGAAACTCTTCTCAATATTGGATCCAAGACTCCTATATCTTGTAAAAGGCATTAAACTCCTGTTTGTTTTAAAAAAATGAAAAGAATTACAAAAGAAAATCAAAATAAAGAACCAAATAAAAGGCCAAAAGGAGTAGGAAATTGTGACAAAATTGCTCTCAAATTTGCCTTATTTTCCAAAACTGTCTAGCCATGTATTCTTGTTAATTGCTTTTTGTTTTACTTTTATAATCTTATATTTTTGTTTTGGTAATCCACTCTAGAGCCATTGATAGGATTCATTTTGAAGTGCTTGTTTTCTTTATGCCTTAATTTTAGCTTGTCTTTCCTTGACATTCTTTCTTGTCTTGTCTCATCTATTTCACCACCTGGTTAGCCTCCTTTAATTGTGCAGTTTCAGTTTTTACCTTAATATTCCAGAAACTATTTGGTGTGTTGAATGCTTCTTTGAAGGATTGGAAGGCCAAGATACAATGGTAGCATCTTAGGATGTTTGTGGAGGCTTAGGGGATTGTTTTCTCCTTGGTGGAAAGCTCTTGTTGGAGATAAACACCTAGAAGTAATCGCCATCAAGATTACTTCAAAAAGAAGAGAAAAACACTTGTGAGAGGTTCTGCAAAGCTTGGTTGCTAGACTGGAATTGAAGGAATCAAGGATTTGAAAAAAAATTGTGAAAGGAATTAGTGACCAAATTTAGAGATAGAAATTTTTGCTGTCACAAAATTTCCTCACCAAATCCGTTTCTAAATTCAGTCTCTAATTAGTGGCTGATTTTGTTTTCTAAATTTGGTGCAGCCACTTCATTTCATTTGTTGTAAATTTTCATTACATTTGTGTACAAGGCCTTTGGGAGTGTCTTGGAGGTGTCTTTGGTACATATTCATCTTTCCCTCGTGTTTTCTTAAGTAAATCC